TCATTGAACTTACAATACGACCCTGTTAACATCCAATGAAAACCTCAGCAAAAGTGAAACTCTTATTAAACTGAACACACCGCACTGAATTGGTGCCAGGGACTGAACAGGGCAGTCTAAATTTAGTCTCTTCACATTGACTCCCTACTAAACGGAAAGCTGCGTGACAAACCTCGCATTAAACCAATAGAAATCCGAGCGCTCTACATAACTGTGCATAAAAGCGTGGTGGTATAGTTTGCTGACAGCTCTGAGAAGAGACGAATGCCACAGCAAATGCGCGTTTTACCAGTAACATACTTAGAGAATTCGCGCCATCACCTAACTTTTGATGTCATATAAAGGCGGCTGTTCACCATCGATATTCCCATATATCACACTAAACCGCAAAGGAGCGAAAAGGGAGCGAAAAGAAAGTGAAATAGGAGTAAATGTTGCATTTCTTCCTTGCAACCAACTGTTATTCCGTGGAGGGATTAACGGCAAGACGAGAATGCCGTGTGCAAACAAAGGGAGGAATAGTTAGAACATGCGGAGGAACGTTTACTCCCGTGGAACTTGCCGGCGCAGTGGCGGCCTCGAAGGAATGTTCACCATGCACGTAAGCAAATAGATCCCTAAAGAATTAAGCTTTTAACAGTTTGAGTTAGTGTTAATGGTCATGAGAACTACGGAAACTACGTCAGGAGCAAAGTAATAATGTTTTTAGAGCATAAATATAAGCAACTTTGTAAGCACCCTCCTAAAAAAGTGCTCGCGCTCAAGTTATATCAATGCGCGGCGTAGTGTTCTCGGCAAGCTAACGCTCGTTGGTGTAGTGTTGTGTTGTGGATGTGTTATCGCTACGTCGTTCTGATTGCTGTCTCTTGTGGTGTATTGAATCATCTGTGCTATGTAGGAAATGTGATCCGCTGCTGTAATGAAGTGCTATGCTATAGAAATGCTACGCGCTGACTGGGATATCACCTGAGAGGGAAGTGTAAACAAGGCTTCCATCACTCCGCGATATTTACCTATGTGCTGTTGATATGTAACGAACACCGCTTATTTAACAGTCCCGTTCTTGGCGAGCAAAACCCGCACGCTTAATGAGCTCCCGCTACACAGTTTTGCGAGTGCTGCCCCGTCTGCTATAGGATTACAAATGTGATTACTAGGCCATCGAGACGTGCTAGCCATTAGCTGGAGCAAGTACAGCTGTGCAGAAATTGTTTTGCTTTCAGTGCAGCACAAATATGCATTGTTCAACAGAGATTTCCGCAACATTTAAAAAAGAATATTCACTTAAACTCCGCATAATGTCATCTTTTACAAGGGAAACAACTAATTTAGGTAGATCAGCTCTTAATGATTGCATGTGTAGCTTGGCTTGGCACCGCTAATACAGGCAGTTGGTGACTACGTCGGTGATTTCACTCGTTTGTAGCTATACTAGTTATGTTTTAATTTTATGTCTTTAAAATGAAGTGCAAGCTTCATTGATAAATAAGAAGGCCTACAAACATATCGCAGTGAAATCTTGAAGCGATAAACTCTAAAACTGATTTCTTGAATTTCATAACACGTTTTGAACTGTTCCTTTGAATTGTGACAGGTTCTGTGAAAAAACAGTTTTTATGTAATGTTTACGCAATCGGACGTGCGTACAAGTGCACGAACAGTTCTGTGGGAAATAATGAATGATTCTGCAAATACTTTTTTTAGCAAATAAATGACTGAAAGCGTTGTGCCTTCCGAGGAAAGTCAATATTTTGCAGCTACGAACACGCTCTCTGTAGCTGTCGATGGTGCGGTTGCACTTCTTGAAGTTAGCTGGACAGCATCCAATCTAATGAAGCATTGTTTCTTTTATTGTCTTTCCTAGAGAGCAGGGGAGCTATTATATATTCCATACTCACAAAAGTTGCTGAATGGATGTTTGGTCACAATGGTGCACAATTAACATGAGTCGCTGAATAAATTTGGCTGTTTCTTTAAACGCTTTCGTTTTTCTTTGTCATCAAAAACACATTTCAACGACATTAGCAACCACGCTCGGCACTCTAAGAAGAAAGCAAGCTTGACACTGCGACAGCAACATATACGGGAACATTTATATATACGCACACTCATTAAGCCCACAAATGCGTTCGAACCACGCTCACAGGAATAACTATTCAATGTTTTTTTTTTACATTTTCATGAACGCGATTACCGAATGGTTGCTTGACAAACACTGAAATTCATATAATGAATCTTCCTAGTTCGAGCAACGTGGCAAAACGGGTAGCGTCAAGATGGCGCCGACATACGCCCCGGTAATTTTGACTATGCTATACAGCAGGGACTCTTATAGTGGCTTGCGTACGCGACTGCAGATTCAATGGTCGCGAGTTAGAGTCTTGTGTATCTGGCGTGAATTTTCTGAATTTACTTCTTGTCTACTGATTGTATGTGTCATCAAATGCATCCACCCGCCTTCAGGTTCTCGCTAATTCAACAACAAATGGTAATAAATTATTTTTTTTTCCAAGATGGAGCGACTGATGGGACTAACTGTTCGTCCTTACGCAGTCACTTCCTTTTATAAAGGGGTAACTTTTACTCCTTGACATTTCGTCCCTCAATACTACCGAGGACTAAACACTTTGTCTCCTGACAGTTACTCCCGAAAGGACGAATCGTTCAGCCTTACTGTAATGGTTGTGGCAATGCAGTTACCTCCCAAAAGGACAAACTACAGACCCCTTTTCGTCTAGTGCGGCTTAGAGCGTAGCACTTGCTCGAAGACATCGTGTTTTGACTTGCTTGGTCCCGCAAAGGTTGTCAATGAATCGCTCTCGATTCTGATAAGATTCAGACCGTAAAAATTTTCTATAATATTTTTGAACCTTCGGATTAAGTCACAGATGACACTGAACGTGAAGGACGACCAGATAACAGCTCGTGCAAAACGCGTGAACGTGCTGAGATAAAGCCGGCAGAAGGTGGGAGTGGGGTACTCAGCGACCGGCTTTTGCTAGAAAGGCGGCGAAACGCGCGTGGCGCAGCGCCCCCTGGACAAGGTTTGGAGGTCCATACTCCAAAGTTACTCTCGCTTCGTGATATCATATCACAGCGAGAACGGTTCGTTTCGTTTTTCTTTTTTACTTGCTTTTTGTTTTTCGCTAAATTGTTGAGAGCGATTTCGACGGCCAAAGCTGTTGTTGCATCCACGGTGTCAAACATTCAAGTCTCCCGACCCCGTTCTAGCACCACTAACTTTTCTGCATCTTTTTTTCTGTCGCGCAGCTGCAGAATTGAATGGCCTTCCCCGCGACATCGTTTCTATCACATGTCCATCACATTTTGTTCAAAGTGTATCTAGGTACCTGTCTCGTTAATAAATTATGACATCAGTTGCATCTTTGTACAACCCTACCCTTATGTAACACCCCCTTCAGGGGTCTTTAAGGTAATAAAGTGAAGTTAAGTGAGGCGAAGTATTGCAAAGCAGGCACATCACTAGCGCCACACATGCTCAGATGTGGCGTATTTGTGACTGTAGATGTCGCTCGTGATGTTCCGCGCGCGACGCCCTGTCTTTATAGACATGAGAGTTCAGCACTGTACATAGGTCGGCGAAAATATTGAAATCAACTCAGACTCGTTCAAGAAATATATTTTGCTCCGAGAGCTCACTTGGACTACGACTCAACGAGTTTTCTCAACCGAACTCCCTCGGACTCACACTCAGTAAATGTTTTATCAACCGGACTTCTAAGGACTCAAACTCACTAACATGTTCGTCCACCATACTCAGAGACTCACGGCTTGAATTGAGTCTGAGTGAGCCCTGGTGAATCGACTGGTGAGTCCTCTGGAGTGAAAGCAGCTTTTCAATCTGTAGAAGTGTTGAAGCTCGGATGGGTTGTTTATCCATGAGATTAGTCTGTATTATCGCGGCACGTAAAAGTAAATTGGTGGCACCCCACCGCGGTGGTCTAGTGGCTAAGGTACTCGGCTGCTGACACGCAACGCAGGTCGCGGAATTAATTACTAGCTTCGGCGGTTGCATCTTCGATGGAGGCGAAAATGTTGTAGCATGGGTTCACGTTAAAGAACCCCTGGTGGTCGGAATTAGCGCCTACCTTTCTTATTACGTCTGTGTAATCTTTCCTTTGTGTATGTGTCACGCTAATAGAAGCAAAGCTGTAGCTTCCCCGATCGTGGTGTAAATGCTCTTTAGCGCCAATATCCCGTAAAATCGGTTCTACGAAGCACCTTTTGATATTTTTTCTTCAAATATGAATTACCAATGGTTGCAATCCAGTAATTAAAGACAGTTTTATGAAATATGCGACTCATCCATCCCGTGGAGTATTTTGCGGGGGGCGAAGGGCCCATGCCTCTCCCTTCAACTCACGCCTCTGATCAACAAACATTGAAGTGGCGCATGCAGGCTAGTGAGCTGAGGCATGTAGGAATGGATTTTTAGTACAAACATAAGCTGATATAAGGTTTATGTCGACAGGTGGGTAGATTAGAATCAAGCGCAACGACTGTACCACCGGCTCAATCTCGCAAACAGGCAGTCATGCGGGAAAAGGCAGGAATGGTCAAAGAACGAGGCATCAAGCAGAATAACAGGATTGTGATGTGGAACTGTCATGGTACGGTATACGCTTGGGGCCATATGTGGTGTCAGACGGGGAATCTAGCCAACCGAGAAATAAGCCTCAGCGTCATGCACCGGCATCTTCTCGGGTGAAATATGAACAAGATGGACGGGCAGGGAAATCAGAAGTACTGTTCCGGCCATTTTTTTTATAACCTTTAAAACATTCAACTAATAACACAGCGACGACGTATACAGATGGTGCAATCACAACTTCTGCTCAGTGCATCAGACATCCACGAATAAACATTTCTCAAAGAAGCCCCCCACTCAACAAGGCTACACCGAGGTGCCTGCGTTCAAGCTAGAAGATAATAAATTGCATAGATCTTAAGGATTACAAAATATCTTGGTAATAATTACATTTGTTTCGTTTGGAGAACACTTTATTTTGTTTGGGCGAAATGTACACGCAACATTCAACGCACGATGACAGTGAAGGATCTGATAAGGTAAGTGACAAATGTACGTGGGTGAGCTTCGCTTCGGCAGCTTTCAGCTTGATGGAGGAAGCACTCTTGGTGTGAACATTAATTCAATACCTTGAACGGGCTTCAGCACCATGTCTACGGCCAACTCAAGCTTGTCGATAGGCACTTTGGAGCTGACAGTGTAGCGGCGCAGAATGTGAGTGAGAAGAATCTTCTCTTCTCTTAGAGCAAATTTTTGTCCTGTAAAGAGATAGAGCGAAACAAAAAAGTAGACAGAAATAACAGAAAACAACATTGAAGGACTGAAGTATTATTTTGTCACCTTGTTACCTCCCAAAGGGAGATAATTGTGAAAAAATAATAAGTCTGCATGATTATCTGGAAAAGCGACCGCGGTAATGAGCTTTCACGGACTATTCGAGCGTCATCTTACTTAATACTAAGTTACGCTTCATAACATGTTACTTTCTTAGTGCAATTTTGATAAATAATTTGTAGCATTAAGGTTATATTTTTGAAACACAAACAGCTGTTCACTTTGGTAAAAGTTATTCATGTATATCAAGAAGCTGGTGCTTACTTTGATCCCCCTGCCACAAAAGAATATTTTTAATCAAAAGTTTGTGTTGTAGCTTTGAAGTTTAACTCTTAAATAGCGCAAGCGCGAACTGTCCTCAAACTTGTGGCTTACCAATGCAGTTTCTAGGTCCCGCGGAGAAGGGTGCATAAGCGAATGCCGGCATGCTTTTGACGCCCATGAATCTTTCAGGTATGAAGCAGTCTGGGTGCTCAATGTACCTAGGATGTCTCTGAAGAAAATAGAAAGCCATGACGGCCACTGTGCCTCGGGGAATGGTGTGCCGTCCTGCGAGAAAAACAGGGAGATGGAATGAATATACAATACTCAAAGGCACACTTATAGGGAGGGATCCTTAAACACTTTTTCAGCATGCATTCTGATAAAGCGTTGCCGATGGGTAATCCAGGCTCTCAAGAACACATGAGCCATACGTTATATTGAGGCATTCGGTCTAGAATTTAAAGTTAGTTTTCAAAGCAGCGATTTCTGCTTGAATGTCGGTGCTTTTAGGTTGTTTGGGTCTTTTATTTTGTTCTGGATAACGGACATTTCTTTTGTTCATGTTACCTTGTCGTTCGCTTTGGTTGAGGGGGGCTTTAATGTCAGTGTTTTTACGGATTTGTGACCTTTTATTTTGTTCTGATTCGCATAGCGGGTGCTTCCGTACTTCATGAAAGTTGCGGTGGGTGTATAGTGGGCACCTTGCATACCTCGCATGTGCTGTGCCGTACGCACGAAGAACAACACGCAATGCACAAAGCACAAGACTGGACCCTAAGGTGTTTTGCTCATAAAAGGGCTCAAGTTCATTACGGGAGCTGATGAAGGGACGCATATTGTCATATGTCATCTTCCTCACTGCGCAGCTTTCAGAGCGCTCACTCAAATGAAAGGAGAGAGAGAAAGGGCCTGGAGAGTGTGACGAATACTTGCTAATAAGAAAAAATTGCACGATGTGATTTGTAGAGATTCTTGTGCTCATAGGTAGTTTATTCTATTATAAACAAAAAAAAATATTGCAGGGCCACTTCAATAAAACGAATTGTCTAAACAAGTATATAGTTTCTTAAACTTTATCTGGAACTATGAATTCAACAAGTTGAAAATTTTCCCCGTCTACTACAGTGAAGTTCATGATTACAAATTAGAAGAAAGGAAACAAGTCAGCGCTTCGTGTCGGCGTATTGTTTCGGCCCTTCTGTCTTCCCAATTTTGGTTTGTGTTCTATGCGCCTAAACAGATTGTTTTTTGGGTAACTCTGGGGCAGTAAAACAAATTACTGAACTAATTTTCACACTCCAGCAAATATTACTTACGTGCCCACCAGGGACGTGAGCGCCGATTATTAGCGCTCATTGGAACGTGCACAAATATTGCGGTGTCAAATAGCCAACAATATGGAGGGGTTAACTCTTTCGTGCAGCACTGCATGGGAAAAAACAGTATACGGGGGTTCATCTCCAAGCAGTTCGAACTCTTTTCATAATGTTCTTATTTATATTTTTGTGTGTTACAATACAATTTAGAAAAAAACTGTTGTACCGGTGTCAGGCGGGAGCCTTTAATAGCGAATAGGGACACATCAGTATCGTATTTCTAGATCGCGATGAATAATCGTCGCTATTAGATAGTCAAAACTTATACGCATTAAGTTTGGCCCAGATGTTCACAAAATCGCAGTCTGAGAGATTTCTATCCGCAGATAACGATCGTCTTGATCAAGGTTGGGCCTGATTGCTATTAAAGGTGGCCATACCAGGTATCTGCATCAACCATGATTTGAATCGGCCCTAACGGTTATGAAATGAGGCCCTGTGACACCGGTATTGCACTTTATGTGCTTACCTTGGTTTGTGTTACTTTTTCTTTTCTTTTTGTTCGTGCGCTTTGTGTTGCAGTCAACAAGAGATGAAAGCCAGTTATTCTTACTTCTATCGCTCATAGTTACACATAAGTACAGAGATACAGATGAATCATTTTGATCGCTTTAGAGGTCTTCTGTGCTGCGCAGCAGCATAAACCACAGAAAGGCTCGTTCTCGCTAGTATTGAAGTTTCAGAGGACAACAAAAACAGCAGCTGTAAATTGCGCTTTTGTCTAAATAGTAGTCGATGAACAAAAATCGCCATGATGCCTTACTAATTGGTGAATTCAATAAATGTCGTTATGAAATACCGGCTCACGGGTGTTTCCGCAAAAAAGGTAAGCCCACGCTCGCTTCAACGCAGATCAATAGCTAGTGATTAGGTTCTCTTTGGCTGATGGTAAAACGCAAATTTTTGAACTCGACTACTCGCAAAAGGTCATGAAGTCTATTTCTTTTTAATCGCAGATACAACGTGTATTTATTTCCAGAATCGGCATACAACGAAGTTTCTGCGCATCTTCGTCTTTCACGCCATGATCCGATGTGCATGAAGCGATGCTTCTTCGTAAACTTCATCCAGACACTTTGTGTAAGATGGTATATTGTCCATGATGTGCACTATCATTTCATTCTGACCGAAAATGTATGCCTTTGAGACATTTTAAAAGACATATAACCTGAAGTGAACCAGAATTGAATAGGAAAAAGTACTGATTGGTAGTGGAAACAGGAAGTGAACGTAGGAGCGGTAATGTGCATCTAGGAATCGTTTTTTTTTTCTTACTGTAAGTGGAATAACGTAAGTTAGTCATGATCAAGTGCAATTTCTTTAGCTCTAAGTGAAAGTCGCGATGGGCATGCTAGGACACTTTATATTTCAGTAATACAAATTTTTTGAATATGTAACTTATTATTCTCAAATAGTCACGTTGAATGAACACTGTGACATACGCTGATTCCATATTGCAATAATAGTACTTGTTTTATGCTTGGAAAACTTCATCCTGCTAAGATGTTGACAAGCCTGATCCAAACACCCTGACTTCTCTTTCTGAAAAGTAAACCTGGTATACACTTCTTGCGACTGTTGGACTTCTCAGCTACTCTCGCGAATGTAAGAGTTATGTCAATATGAGCTGTTGCGCGGATACTTTGGATTGATTAGCAGTTATATTGACCCTCTTATGAGTCTAGAAAGCTGTTTTTGCTCCAAAAGCTGACATGATGCCCCCCGGTCATTACACTCGTGAAAGTTATTATGTCCCCCAGGAACGCGACTATTAAATGGTGCCGAAGAACGCAGAGAAGTATGACGAAAGTTCAAGATGATCGCATTTCAGTCATTGAAAGCGCAACAGTACGTTTTAACCAAGAAACAGCATTTCCAGGTTCAACAACTGCAGGTAGGGTTTTTCTCATTCTTTTGTTGTGGGGCGTAACAAGTATGAAAACGTGGCAAAATGAACAACGTACCAATTTTCGTGTCTCTTGTTACCAAACGGCTCAGAAGTGGCCCCGGAGGGTAGAGCCTCAATGCTTCCTAGAGAAAGGGAGGGTGAAAATAAAAGCTGCAAATAAGTCTCGATTAAGCTGTAAGATATCTTCGTTATATATCAAATTACAACAAAGTTCTCTTCATGAGATGGCGCTGCTACTTAGATTTACACAGAGTTACCCTATATGCTACTAAAGGAATTCTATATTTACACAGAGCCATATATGCCATTAGGGAGAGTTCGGCGATTCTTTCATATCAGCGCTCACCGCGCCACTCCGTGCCTCGCCTCAGAGCCGCCCACTTCTCGTGACGTAAACGCTCTCTCTGTGCCGTCGTTGGCAGGTCTGTAGGCACTGTGGGTGTGTGGGTCTTGTGCAAAGCTCTGTCGGTTCCGTTAGGCTCGGTATCGTAATGCACGCGCGTGTTCATGGCAATTATTTTATGCCATGTTCCGTGCATTCACGCGTGAGGTTGTGTCGTCATTCAACAGCCTGCTTGCATGAACACCCTCTCACTGTTGAGAGCGTGGGCATGGGAGATCGGATTATTGGCTGTAGTCACCGTGGCTGTAGTGATCGACCTTGCACACTCACCGATACTCCGTTCCCGCAGCAAATAAAGAAAACATTATCATTTATATAGTCGACTCAACAGTTTAACTCTAACTTCAGAGTGAGCATCATCGCAGGGTCGAAAAACTTCTCACATCACTGTGCAGGGAAGCGCCGTCCGAACCGCACGAAAAATATATTCAGTGTCAAAAACATTACCAAGTATCGTTATTACTGAACCTGGGCTTCAAGAAATTTATTCTATACAAACCGAAATAGACGCAACCCCACAGGTCTTTATGAAATGAAAAGTCACCGATTATTACGATACTCTTTCATGCAAATTCTGAGTGCTGCTTTGAGTTAAGGCAACACCAACCAAGTTTGAAGTTCTGGCTATCGGCAGTTGTACCGTCGTAACATTCGGTACACATTGCCCACAGAAATTGTCTGTGCTAGAGCGCTACCCACATCACTTTTTGCATTGCAGGTGTCGCGGACCAAGCGAAACGCTGACATCTCCGTTACGACAAGCGAAAATACTCGCTCTGCATCTGCCAGCCTTGCATGTGCACGAGCTCCGACCGAAGGGCCTGCGTGCGTGCGAAAAGAATAAAGCGATGGTAGAGGCCAGTGGCTCGTGATGTCGACAGACTCCGCTCTTCATGTTTCTCGTCTTCGTTTGCTCTATTGGTTGCGCAGACGAAGCCGGTCAACGTAAGAGCCCTCATGATTGTGAAGCGCTCAAAGAAAACGGAGTCTTATGAAGAACACAGCACAGGTTTAAAACAACACGCCCAACTCGCAGTTACTCTAAACGTGGCGAACGGTTGCCTAAAAGCTGCGCTCCAAAAGCACAGTGCAGAAAGCGCATTGCGTGGAACGTTGTGCACTGGAATCGGCGTACACAACTGTAGAGGGCAGTTTTTCGATTATTTGAACACGTCTAATTCTCGTCATATTCTGTATTAAACTTGTATAACAACGTTCTTGCTCTATTTCGCTTTCGCAATTTATTTTGCAGCGCTACATTTCACGAATTAACAGCGCGTACAAATCCACAGCTGGGCCGGCGTTGCGCAGAAAGCATAAATATGGCGGACGTTACCGGAGTGGAGGCGTGGTGGCCGGCGTCATCGCCGCGCCGTGACGTCATTGCCCCGACCATTCTCCAGATTTTCTGCATATACGGCTCTCGATTTCCATATATCTAAAGTACCTTCTTTTGATGGTGTATATAAAATCTGAAATATCTTATTCATAAAACAGATGGTCGAATGACCTGTCTTAAAATTAACAATAAATAGGGTTAAGATGTTAAATGGTCGGTTTGGTAGAGTACTTTTGTAAATGACGAGCATCGTAGTTGGATACATTCTTTCATTTTAAATACATGTACTTTTTTGTGTAATCGATGTGATTTCACACATGTAAGTGTAACATGTATTATAATATTCTCTACAATTGCCTGGCAAGCTTCTCCACAGTTAATGAAACATTTGTTATTTTGCTTAAAAAAAGAGATGCGCGTTTATGAAAGCTACTTCTATCTCAAATTCTACTGTAGAATTGCTGAAATGCAGTGAAAAAGATATATACCTAACGCTCAGTGCATTTTTGTGAGCAATAATAACTAGCCAAATGAACATAAAGCAACGTGTTCCAAACTTCAACAGTGATGAAGCGTGGTAAATTAGGCAAGTTTGTAGGACATAAGTTAATGTATGAACAGCACAACCTAGAAGTATTTATTTCGTAACTGTGGAAGCGAAAAAAAACAGGGCCAGAAAAGAGCGCTGACTTTCAACAAAAATTTGTTAAATTTGATTGATTTGTGGGGTTTAACGTCCCAAAACCACCATATGATTATGAGAGACGCCGTAGTGGAGGACTCCGGAAATTTTGACCCCCTGGGGTTCTTTAACGTGCACCCAAATCTGACCACATGGGCCTACGACATTTCCGCCTCCATCGGAAATGCAGCTGCCGCAGCCGGTATTTGAACCCGCGACCTGTGGGTCAGCAGCCGAGTACCTTAGCCACTAGACCACCGCGGCGGGGCAAAAGATTTGCTGAAGTCAGCGCTTTTTTCTGTCCTTGTTTTTTTTTCGCTTCCATAATTACGAAGTAACTACTTTTAGGTGGCGCTGTTCCTGCATTTAGTTTAACATTCATTCACAAATAAAGACTCTGTATACCGCAACTGATCAAATAGACAACAGAGACCTGACGTCTGCGGTTGCAGGTTATTGTTATAGGTGTTACGGTTTCATGTTCCAGGTGTCCAAAGTAAGATGTCAATACGTCGCAAAATACCCAGGCAATATTCGCAATCATCTGCTCTTGATCTTGCCGAAGATGCATGCATTATACCTATAACATGTATGAACGAGCTGCTTGTGTATTTGTCACGATACTGGAAAGATCATGCGCCAGCTGCGGGCACACCTGCCGAAGTAGTATTGTCAAACCATTAGGAACCAGCGCTACCTTATGGTCACGCATTTCCTTACAAAACATTTTAATTTATGCAGCTTTAAAAACCTTTCCAGAATACCAGTAATATACCTTGCGATTGCTTATAGGGTACTCCTTAAAGATAACATGTGGCCGAAGTTTTCTATGTTTATTGGGGAGGTGCTAAAGCAGGCGCGAAATAGTGGTTTTACGTTTCGCCGCGTCGGCATGCAACGCACCTTCGGGTAAATAGATATTTTTTGTATTATTACTTTTTCATTAGCATGGCGCACATGATCCTAAAGAGGACCTGCACTGTGAGATCTTCAATGATTATTTGAAGTAAATTAAGCAATGTCCTCTTTGCGAACAAGCGTGTTACTTTACGTGCTACCATGGGTCACGCTATAAGCTTTTAGGTTCCGTATTTCCTTCAAGTACGTCACATAATTGAACGCTCTATGTAGGTTGATTCCGCGGCACTCATGCGCAAATTTACTGTACTCTCAGATTAATTATAAAATATATAGCACCAGAATACCCCAAGAAAACGAAAATATGTGTGGACTATCTACATTTACTAGCTATCAGAGGCTACCACATAGTCAGACAAAGATGGTGCAGGTTAGGATTCCGGTTGTCTCATTGAAAATTCAAGTATAATAAAAAATACCTCTTGGATTTTAACATCGCAAAACAACGATATGATTAGGAGGAACGCCATTGTTGCGGGCTCTGCAATTTTCACCCCCTGGCATTTTGTGCACCTAAATTGCAGGGAGCCTTATAGGTAGCTTAGAGCAGGCGCTTAACATGTGCTTGCAGATGGACATCGCAATGATGGATGCGACTGTGATTAAGATGAAGCAGAGTATAAAGAAACAGGCGAGGGATAACCAATTGAATTATATACTCAGGTGTAGGAGATGAAAGCCATGACACGAAGTTACACTCAAGTGCACAGAAGAAAATAAAAGTTTCTCACTCTAATGCTGTTACCCGATATAACTGCTTCACGAGAGCACTGACCAGGCGGATGCTAACGTAGGCACTTACTGGATTGCAACAATGAAGAAAAAAACCTACTGGATTGCAATTCATCAAAAAAAAAGTGGTAGTGAGCGACATTCACGTTGGGAGGTAGTCATAAGCAACGCGTAGTGCTTCGCAGCTCATAATCAAACGTCACTGAACTTGAATTTCGGATGTATCTTCCTCAAAGCTATCAGTTAAGGTGAGATACCAAGCTTAAAAAAACTGACCGTCAAACAACGTCGATGCTTGCTCAAAGTGCGTTTTGTGGTGCACATTTTGAATGAGAAAACCGTCCACTTCGTCGAAACTGTGCCTAACGGCAAAACGCGCAGGTGCAATGAAGAAACGGCAACAGCACGGTGACTACACTGTGCAGAAAATGCGACGTCGGCATATGCATCTAATGCTTTATAGCATTACCCATTGAGTGCCCATTGAATCCCTAAATTTATTTTTCGCGATGTGTCAAGGTCTGAAATTTAGCCCCGCTGCGGTGGTGTAGTGGCTAATGTACTCGGCTGCTTACCCGCAGGTCGCGGAATCGCATCCCAGCTGCTGTGGCTGCATTTTCGATGGAGGCGAAAATGCTGTAAGCCCGTGTGCTCAGATTTGGGTGCACGTTAAAGAACCCCAGGTGGTTTAAATTTTCGTAGCCCTCCATTATGGCGTCTCTCATAAGCATATAGTTATTTGGGGACGTTACACCCCACATATCATCATCACCAAGGCCTGAAATCTAATTAGACGTTTTTTTTTTCATTTTTGCTGTAGCCTAAGAACGCAGCGTGACCATACGGTCACGGGCCATATCTTGTAAACTAAAAGCTCGTTTACGATGAAGTTTTCAGTGTGATTTATGCAAATTAGTATAATTAAAAATTTCCACTGTTTTCAGGATATAATAAAAAAAAGAAACCGGTATCTAAGGGGTTAAGCCAAAAAGCTTAGACACTTCATCAAACCTGAAAATGTAAATACTGTCCGCGTCGTCAGCATCGGTGTCAGCACGAGGGATGCAAAAACTTGTCACTACGTGATGACATCACATATCAGCACGATTGTGACGTCATCATGACGACACCATAATGAAGTATAACATGACGTCATCTGACGGCATCATCATATGACATCAAAATTTTATAGCCTCAGACAGACATAAGGACGTTCAAACCGGCAAGAAAGCACTTAAGGAAGTGAATGAATATACATTGCAATATTCAACAGCAAGAGTTTTCATTTTAATAATATTGTTGTAGCTTTTGAAGTCATTATAACTTAGAAGCACTTATTTTTATCTGGATAAAAGACCTTTAGCAAATTTATTCTTGGCGTCAATTTACCCTAACTTGTTCAATAAATGGGGTAGGAATTGCCCCTCCAAAAAATTGGAGGATGTTGCTTGATACTAGTCAAGTTTACACACATTTTTTATCATCGTCTGTCAGACTACTCCAACTGCATGGCAAAGGCCTTTCCCATGTACCGCTAAGACAACCCGTTTCTGTACTTTCTTCTGCCATAGTATACTTGCAAACTTCTTAATTTCTCCTGCTCGCCTAATGTTCTGTCCCCCTTTCACGCGTTTGCTTCCCTTGAAATCCAGCCAGTTACCCGTAATAACCAGTGATTATCGCGCCTGGGTGCTACGCACCCATTACACACCTTACACGGCAAATATTTCATTATAAACCGATTATTCAAGTTGGACATCTCGCGCATTGAGGACGTACCTTTAGCACGCATTCCGTGTACGTGAGACCTTTTATCGCTTCCGTGTCAAGAGACTTCTCCAAGTCATCTCCAAATGCTGCGTCCATCTCGTCCTGGACCCTCTTTTGAATATCTGAATGGTGGCCAAGCAGGTAAAGCGCGAAGGCAAGGCCTGTCGCCGTGAAGTCAAAGCCCTGGACGGGTAGATGCATTGAGTTCATGAGGTGAACAGTAGAGGGGCTCTCTACTGCAAAATAATGTCATCTTATCAAATGAAAGTAATCATATTTTCTTAGCATGCATAATCCTAAATTATTCACTTACGGTAAGCACCGGCTTCTTGGCCAATCCCCCTTTTTTGGGTATAAGCCACAGGAGAGGAACAAGCAAGCAAGTGAACACTATAGTGGCGCAAGGATGGAACCACCAGAGGAGCTAGCGTTTGACCTAGCTCCTAAGTTTGTGCAAGTAGTGCTGAGCACTCTACGCAGGACAAGCCAGCAGATGTGTTTTGGGAGTGAAGCAGAGGATGAAAAGGGCGACAAAACTAGCGTGTGCCACATCATGATTATGCCTATTTCAGTTCGCACTACCTGGCGCAATGAAAAGCTGAAACAGCAGAAGAGTTGATAGGAGGGCTCGTTGGGACAGCTTGGCAGTGCGAACAAACGGGACAAAGGGCACAAACAAGCCACAGAAGCTGGTAACCCTTTTACGACCGAAAGCAGAAGAACATGCCAGAATCTTCAAATCTTTTTTTGCTCAGTTTGTAGCCCCCTTTTTAATAAATTGTATGAAGATTTCAATTCAGTGACATTTCTTTGTTTCAGTAATCACGGTAGAAAAAGGTTACTTGAAGGTGGCTTCACCACATAACAATACAATGCAAACTGGCAATAAATTTAAAGCCGAAGCACAAGTGTCCCAACATGGACAAGTGTTGCGATAGAACTTCAAGAAACCATATTATGGCGAGTATAGTCTTTATCGGTTTCGTATGAATCAATTTTTTTTGATGACGAGTATAGTCGTAGTCGGTCATTTTGTGTAAAAAATGTGAATATAGCCGTCAAAGGTCACGAAAAGTTTAAAAGAAACCAGAAGTGCTCCACCACTATACAGCATCACCTATATTAGGCGCACTTCCTATAGCTAGATGCCATTACAAGAATTGTAGACATTGCAGATGGTTAAAAAAAAACATCATGAATAAAGGTTGGGCTAGGTGCGCCAAAATTCTCCAGTTTCACTCAACTAGAAAGAAAGTCATGAGGAGAAACCTTTTTTACTCGTCTCACGAAAGATGTGGACAAATCATTTGTCTCTTTTAGTACTTATTTGGGTGCAAAAGACACTCATATCGTTTATCAGATGTTCACGACACATTCAATCATTCAACACGGAAATGTGTGTGTTTAGGAGAGGCACGGGTGCTGCGCACAATTTATTCAAACGTACGTTGTCATGCTTTGCATAAATGTTTCGCATGTATGAAGATGTATGCCATATATATATATATATATATATATATATATATATATATATATATATATATATATATATATTCTTTTCTGTCATATTCCTGCATGTACCTTCACATACAAGTAAATGTACAAGTACTTCTAACCAATTATATGCACTATCAAGTATCACAGTTAGGTAAAGTACGCATGATTTTTTTAATGCTAAAGTTGTTGTTTACCTGTCTTGGTTCACTCATTACCAAAGCAAGGCAAACGCTTTTCTGTGACACTCCCAATGTCTTCGAAGCACACACTTTGATGTTTAGCTTATATTTGCGCATTTGCGATTGGAAATTTCATTTTTTCCCTTCCCAATGTATTGAGCGAGAAAGCCAGCGAATGTTTTTAGGACCAGTTCGGTAAGTACCTGCAAAATAAGGAAACGTCGTTAAGTAGTATATTACGATATATACTTTCAAGTGGGGGCTGCATTATTTCTTTCCTCTTGTATTCACCATGCAATCTCTTGTGAATAATTTTCTCCGCTTATTATATACACTTGTCTAGGGGGAGCAAAGCCGATGCACGTTACCATCAAGTCCCTTATATTGGTACGTCTCGCTATGTCGTGCCACAACGGGAAAAGAAAGCGCCCTCATAAGAGGCACTCTAAAAAAAGGGAAAGGGAATGGGGAAGAATGGCTGTAATATAAATGTCACGTGCGATGCTCTCAGTGACAAATGCCGTTTTTTGCTGAAGCAGCTTACCCCAATCAACATAGTGATGATTTCGTCTCGAACATCAATTTCACTAAGAATGCCTTTGTCGACGCACATTCGGAGAAGAACTTCCAGTAGAGAATTTTCCGAAACCGTGTCTCTGATGCCTTTTCGGTAGTCGGTGATTCTTTTCTGAAGGATCTGGAAAAGCAAAAGAAATCCTCTATCAGAAAGGTCCCATATATGCCGCTTGGTGGTGCTTGTCCACTAGTTTCATCGTTGAAGATTGTCACATCATACTATAAAAGCATTATTATTATTATTATTATTATTATTATTATTATTATTATTATTATTGTTATTGGACCCACAAGCTTCGCTTTTACGAGTTGAAAGCGATAGCGATATTGTGCTTCTAGTACGAACTTCAAACACTTAGCGCATGAAACCTTTTCGAAGTTGCTATCCACTCACAACTTGACCTTACGACACAGCCACAGTAGAGTAAGTGCCTTTTGTAGTGGGTTACCGGCTTTAAACCACGACGTCATTATGATAATCACATGTGCTAACGCCCGATCGCAATGGGCACTTGTACCACGCATTACTGCAATCTTTCATTTTGTACTGGGAAGCATGTATACAGTACGCGTGTGTTTGCAAAGCATGCATCACTTTCACTGCATTCACAAGCAGAGTCATTTATTTTCAAAGTATTTACAAGCAGACGCGTAGCCGTGTGTTATAGAGCATCCGCTTGCCACGCAAACGACAAGGATTCGATCCCCCCTCTGACCCAGGATTTATTTCATATTCATGTTATTTGCATCCTTCTCGATTTTGGGGCCACACATAAGGTGATAATTTTTCGCTCACATCAGCCAACGCTGGAATTTCTGCCAAATGAACTCTTTAACGCTATTGTTTATTAATAATGATCAGCAATTTCTCAACGCTCCAAGGATCAACCATAACGTTTTCATGTTAGGACTGAAAAACTGAAAGAAGTTAAAGAAATACAGCCTACTCGACAAAATATAACCGAAAGTAAAAATGTAAAAATAATAATGAGGATAAAACATGGCAAAAATGCAGTAACATAATACGAGAAGGCCAATGATAATTAAAATTGCGTACAACAATACGCAAGGCAAGCTGAAAGACGAAGAATACCATATGGCAGGGTTTTAAGCGCCAAAACGGCGATATGTTTATGTAGCACGCTGAACTTGAGGGCTCCAGATATTTCATCCACCAGGGGTCGTTAAATTGCACGTACACGGGCCTCAAGAATCTCGCCTCTACTGAAGTGCAACCGGACCCGCGACCCTCGGATCAGAATGGCGAACACCTTAACCAGTCTTTCACCGCGGCTGCTAATGAGAAAACAATATGTGCTAACGGGGGGGGGGGGGGGGCATTTTACCAATGATAAAGAATAAAAATACCTGTTTTTCTAGGCCTTGAAAAAATCGAACCAAGATTCTGGTGCATTGTTCCAAGATTCTGGTGCCCTCCCCGTCAGGAGGCACTTCGTAAACAGGGTGGATAGTTTTTCTAACACAATCTGTCTTCCACCTTCCAGCAAGCCTGATGATATTTCATAATTAGCAGCAATGTAGTCTCTGCGTTCCCTCTAAGGTTTTTCTGACCTCTACTATTATTACTGGTGGGATGTCATCTTGGTTACTTCTATTACGGTCGGGGTTGCCCCGGCTACTGTACAGATCTCTGTAAAACTCGTCTGCTATGTGAACTATATTAACCATATTGATAGTTGCTTGGACCTTCTTGTCCCTTAGTGCATAGGTCTGGTTTTCGCTTGTGCCAACTTTCCTCTTCACCGCCATGACGCTTCCTTCGTTCCTTAGAGTATGTTATATGTTAACTCTTTCCATGTTATACGTCATTACATCGGATACCTTAGGTTTTTAATGAACTTCTAAAACTCGGTCAGCTCTATTTTGTCTGTTGTGTTTGCGTCTTTCATGCTTTCGCATTTTTAATGAGGTTCTCCGTTTCCTGGGAGAGCTTGCTAGTGTTTTGTTCTACTACCATACCTCCAACATTCATTTCATGCTCCGTAATGATACCAGTAAAATTATCACTCATTGCGTCAACGCTAAGGCCGGTTTTTACGAGCCGAGTACCTGTTCTGAAGAGAGACTGAATTTCTGTACTTTCTCTCTCAGTGCTAGAGATTTATCGGCTTCTTGTTATCAGTTTCTTTCGTTCATTCTTCAATTCTAGGCGAATTGGGGAACTTATCATTTTAGGGTCAGTGAATCATACTTTGCCAATCACTTCCACATCCTGCACGATGCCTTGGTGAGCACTCAGTTCTTACTCTCGCCATTAGGGCTCATTTATGTCTTACTGTTCACTAGTTTTATATAGAAGGCATTCAAAATTTGTAAATAATTGCGTTCAGCGAATTCTACTTACAATTTCCCTCTGACATTTCTAGTACCGATGTCATAGTCCTCTACTGTCTGGTCTTCAGCCTGCTTCTTCCCTACTTTGACCTTCAGGTCGCCCATCAATATAGTAAACTGTGTTTTTTACATTATTGTTTGCCGATTCCACGTCTTCACAGAAGCTTTCAACTAATACGTCATCATGACTGGATGTAGGTGCATAGGCCTGTACTACCTTCATCTTGAATCTTATGTTAATTCCGATACCACTACCCTTTTATGAATGATGTAGCCTTCCTTTATGTTGCCAGCTCTATTTCTCTAAATAAGAACCCCCCCCCCCCCCCTACCCCTTCTCTTCTGTCAGCGAAGCCACGATTGCTAAAGACGGGCCCATTCTATGGTGCTGTATAGGCCTCACCTGTCCTCTTAAATTCACTGAGTCTTATGACATCCAATTTGACACCCTCTAGCTCCTAAAATAGGACAGCTAGACTTAGCTCACTAGATAAGGTTCTAGCGTTTACGTTGTCAAGTTGAGCTTCGAATGGCTGTCTCTCCAGACCCAGAGATTCTTAGCCCCCTCTGCTGCTTCACAGATATGACCACCGACGTGGTCTTGTTGCTTCGTAGCCGCTGGGGACGGAGAACCGAGTGTTAATTAGCGTATTTGTGTGGGAGGTAGTGGCCAGAAACAGCACCAGGGCTGTAAATTCTTCTCTTGTGAGGGAGTGCGTTACCGGCGGCGGACAGCAGTGCGACCACACCCAGGCCTCTTTATGCGATTTCATCATCTCGCGGATATTTTTCAAGCCCGGAGGAGAATCGTACAGCACCGGGATTTGAACCATGGGCCTCTTGCACGTGAAGCTGATACTCTAACAACAACGCCAATCACTTGTGGAACATACACGCATACCAGTGGCACATACCCGCGGGAGAGTATGTGTCATTTTCTGGCGGGAAAGTTTTGCGACGAGATTGTGACATCATTTATGTCTTTACCAGTGCGTCATAATCGTCGAGCCATCTTTCCTCCCATACTAATTTCGGTTCATGCCAACTTGGGTGGGCGATCGCGAGAGCACCAAGACGTAAGCGGATTTATAGATAGATAGATAGATAGATAGATAGATAGATAGATAGACAGATAGATAGATAGATAGATAGATAGATAGATAGATAGATAGATAGATAGATAGACAGATAGATAGATAGATAGATAGATAGATAGATAGATAGATAGATAGATAGATAGATAGATAGATAGATAGATAGATAGATAGATAGATAGATAGATAGATAGATAGATAGATAGATAGATAGATAGATAGATAGATAGATAGATAGATAGATAGATAGATAGATAGATTCAAAGAGCCTTTGGTTTTGGAAATTGGCATCGAATTAGTTCTCGTAATATGAACCCTTCCCCCCCTCCCCCTGCGCCTACATTATTTTCTGTGCCGTCCTACGAGGTATACGAAAATTCGTGGCTGTGGCCCACTAGCCGAGCTGATTTTGAAACCCCTACTATAGACTAAAGTGTATCCCGTTTTTATTTTTTTCCTTGTCTTTCCGTTTTGCCTTGAAGAAGTATCCGGGTTCCATAGGACTTTTCACAAAGAGAATCCCCGAAAACCAAGCAACTGAAGATGACTAGGTAAGTATACTATACTTACGTTGCTCACAAAATCCTTCGCTTCTTCCACGTATTTAGACATCTCCTTGTAGTCCTTGCTGAGTGCATAAATGCAGTCAAACCAGTGATGAAAATTCGTGAGCCGTTTAAGGATGCTTTGGCAGATTCTAGAGATGCATGTGAAAGTTTTCAGATGCCTAAGCGAATATTCGACTTTGTTTTTCAACCTCAGAATTGTCATAACAAAACTTACGCGTCATGAATTTTCAGGTATTCTATTGTTTCGACACCATCTTCGTTATAATCAACACCCATTGTCGTTTCTGTAAAAAACAAAGAGAGAGAGAGCGACAACGATAGTATCTGCTTCTCTAAAGAAACGTTTTGTGAAGTATGATATATCTATTATCTAAGTTATTGTTGATCTCTTTCCCTTGTTTTCGTACCAATTGCACTCATTTCTACATGGCCACGTAATGGAAATTGAAATTTTCTCAAACACATTCAACGTCCAGCGCTACTTGGTGAGGCAAGTTTTCTTTTGCTTTTCGTTCGCAACTTCTTTAGATATTTCAAGCATGCATCACAAACTGGCCTCTAAGTCAACGATTGTTTCCTTCGTTTCATAACTGTACCAATTTATTTGAGGGGGTGCCTTTCAGGACATTTGATAAGTCTTCATAATATTCGAGGTGTCGTCGAATTTTCTACCTTCTGTTCCATATTGTAGTTAGAGAATCTGGTCAAGGCATGTCGTGTATTTCAGTATCTTACCTGTTTAAGCTCTGCAATAAAAAAAACATCTAAAATTTACATATATACTGGGTGTTTTTTTATCCAATACAGCTTTTTTTATAAAAATGTCGTGACAGTAATGTCATTTTGCAGACAAATGCCATGTTCAGGCATAAATACTTTACCACAGCTAACATGACACTGTTGTGAAAACGTAACGAAAATTTGTTAACTAACGTTTTAATTATTGACTTCAAGGCAAATGTTTTTAATACAGAGCTGTAGTTGGTGAAATTTAAGGCATACATATTTTGTAGAAAAGTTGCATGTAGTTTGAAATAATCATAATCTAAACAACCTTGTAAATACATTCGGGAGTCTCAGCATGGCCACTTATGTAGTGTGGGCTTGTGTACGTGTAACGCATGAACTAAACAGTGTGCTGCGTTGATTTCTAGACACTCTTTTATCAAATAAAATTAGGGTTATTCAACCTATATTTCTAGAAGCGTTAATAATATTTCACTGCCACTCCTCCGTGGTAACGAGCACTGACGCGCATCAATACGTGTCTAGTATCGGGCACCTCATAGGCATAAAACTCCGACACAATAAGGCACTTGTCTAGAAAACTGATGAGACAGAGCTTAACAGCTAGTTGGTGCAGATTTCGTTTGAAAAATGTGGGAGTTAGCGGGAGCCAGCACGCAGATAAAGTGTGTCGAAATGAGTGTTATACTCACGTTAATTGTTCGAATTTATTCTTTTATTGCAGTTATTGTTTATTTGCTATATTTTCAAGTAAATTTTTAAACAACTAGGATATATCCGCATATAAGTTTATACTTATGTTCATATGTTTACCTGCTTGCAGCTATGCTACAATTCAAATCAGCAGAATTTATAGTCTCGCTAGTGCAGTTTTGTGATTGTTCATTCATTCAGAAAAGCGGCTCACCGAAGAGTACTCCGAAGGTTGCTGCGCGGAGCACAGGAAGAAAGTCGAAGTACTCGCCGCTCCTATTCTTGAGTTTTCGTATGAGTCTCTTGCCTCTTTTGTCCATAATGGGACTGTAGTCCTCCAGGATGCGGACGTGAAAAGATTGCAGTATCATTTTACGACGTACTCTCCACGGCTCGTCATCCCTAGAAAAATTGGGCGGGGGTGAGAAGATAAATATTGAAACATTGGGAAGAATTTATACGGCCCATTGCCAATTAAGGCCTGAACAATCTGCCTTGGCACGAAATCCCACTGGAACAAGTGTTCGAAGCAGGATGAGGCATCTCCGATTTGTAGCAATATACGGGAAACTCCACGCGTCTTTGAGAAACGTCAGGATATTCATTCAGTAGGATCTATAGGAAACAATCTGCTTCCAAAGGCTCTGTGCTATTTAGCGCATAGAAGCACTCAATAGTTAACCGGCAGTGCAACACGCAGAGCCTTGCTGTTCTCGTTTTTTAGGCCGACAAAGGTAATGAGAACGTACTTTGTCACCTATACATGCTGTATGAGGACGGTGTAACAGTGACCGATGTGAAGTGCAGTCCTCCCCTTTATTAAAGGAAGCACAAAAGTGAAACAGCTGACAGAGCGATTATTGTGGTGACCCCCGTCCTGGAATACAGCGAATTAGATGTTCGTTACCCGTTACTCACAACTGGAGCTACGCGAGGTGGTATGTGCTATGGTGGCAGATTAGTAGCTGTATTTACCATGGCGGTACAAAGGTATGATACAAACGCATCTCTAGGCAAGCTTTTAAATGCACTGATCCACATAGCTACAGAATTTTATCAACAATAGCCCAAACAAGTCAACTTAGATGTGAAGCGCGACCGCAGCCTTAGCCGAACAAGGTTACAGTGGTACAACCCCACAACCTTACAGGCACAGGAATTTTTTTCAACGCATAAATAAACGTTAAAGCAACAAATTGCGAAATCACGCGAACAAGGGCAAGTAGCTTGAAACTTGCAGTGCGCACTTCAAGCAGAAAGCACGCACGAAATGAGAATGCACAAGGTGAGCACAGACAGCGCGCTTTTCAAAAAGGAGAGAAGAAAGCACGAAACGAACGCACAAATATACGCAAGATAAGCACTAAAAACTGCCATAATTCTTACTTCGTGTGTGAGCAGTGTGCTTCCTTAAAAATGCGGCCGTAGCAGCGAGGGAAATGGCATTTGTGCCCTCCTAAATCAAGCATATGATAAGTGCGCGTGCAGGAGAGATCACGCTCCCTGGAGACGGTGCACAATGAAACGCGAGAGGCGATGACTTGAGCGCCTATCGCAGTGATCATAGCGCGCCCAACGCGAGCAAGTGGCGCCATCTGACTAGTGACGCCAAAAACGCGCTGAAGTTACAGAACTACGAGGACCGACAAACAGTGTATGGTGTGCATAAATTGCTTGCCGTAAGCAGGGTATGACATCGTGCGCTCAGTGGCCGGGCGGTTAGCGCCGCGCGCTGTTGATCGTGAGGTCACTGGTTCGACGCCCCACAAATATATGCGTCGTTCGCGTTTTATCTGCAATCTGTTAGTATATATTTTACAAAGTCATATCTGTGACGGACGGAAACACGTCTGCGGAGCTGTGGTGGACTCCTGCATAGAACATTTTCGTGCTAAAGAACACGTTTTTTTTTTAACACAGATAAAGAAGTCTCTCCCGTTCTCTCAAGATATTCATTGGCAAGAGTCGCAGAACTTCTTTATTGCTATATCTGTGTACTAAAATTTCACTTCATCCTGGAAAAGGCTCTCCAGAAAAATGGCTATACAAAACAGCACGTCGCACACTGCAACAGACCTTGATGACCATACAAAAAGAGTCACAAAGTATGTTTTGGTTCAGCCACAAAGTTATAGTCTACACAGAACAGGAGGTGAATAATCACACCAGTAAATTCCCAACCACACAACTGCTACATGGCATTGACGTTTACTTGATAGGCCTCGCCTTGGCGATAATTCTGGTTTGATAACATTGGGGATTCCATCTTCAATATCTTTCTTGGTAACATGGTAACTATGATGTAACCTTTTAGCGCGCCCAAAAAAATATAGGACAAGAAAGAGACAGACCAGGGCTAACTAACCTATAATGTATTTTTGAAAGGAAGAAAACATATAAGGACACTGCTCAGCGCATGTGCAAGTCATGTGGGAGGCAAACATACAAAGACATGGCTAAATATAATAAAAAAAACTATACTCTCTATCTGTTCGAACCACCAATGGTTGACTTATACATTTGTTTTTACACCTATTTATATGGATGGCTTCCGTCCGTTCACATCTTAGTTCATCTCTATGTGAGAACAAGACGTGTGTATCGCGAAACATGGGATCACAATGGCATGATTAACAATGATTTGACAAGTGTGAAAATGTTCCTTTTTCTGGTGAGTAAGCATGCTCTTTTGGTCGTGTTTCGCGATACACATATTTTGTTCTCACGTAGAAATGAACAATCACGTGAACTGAGAGAAGCATTCCATATAAATCGGTACAAAAACAAACTTATTCGTCTACTATCGGTGGCTCAAACAGATAGAGAGTATAGTTTTTTTTTTAGATTCTATTTAGCCTTCTCTTTGTATGTTTGCCTGTCACAAGACTTGCACATGCGCTGAGCTGGTTCCCATGTCCTTATGTATTTTCTTCCTTTCAACAATAAATCAGTTGTGAGTTAGCGCTCGTCCGTCTCTTTCTTGCCCTGCTTTTTGTGCGCGCTAAAAAAAAGTTATAACATGGGTACAAACCCACTCGCTAAGCTCTCTGTTTTACAACATCGTAACTGTTATTGTTATCTTCGGTGCGCCGCAACCTTAAGCATAAACATTCATAAAGGTCAATGTCTAACCACCACTGCTCAACACGATCGTGCTGAAACATAGCAAACAGATTCCGCACATGATACGCTTCAATGGTGGCCTCAAGGAGTCAGGTATGCTCCACCATCGAAGTACACCGCAAAACGTTCGACCTTATGCGTGACCCGCAATGTATATATCAGAGATATTTAGGGACGGGCATTCTTAGCCTTCTGTTACCCTAGCTCTCGTTCCCCCCTTCCCTTTTTTTGCTCTTGTTGAGTTATTTTGTAGGCATGTCGGAGCACAGGCGGAAGAGCTTGGAATTGAATCAATACTGCTTTGGGGCCCCAATGCTAATATTCTCTGTTGCTAAGTCGATGCCAACGATAGAAGAAACAATGAAACAATGGGATATTGTCGTAGTTCACCACCGTTAATTCACACAGATTACGTACAGTAATCAATCTACAAACGGAAGGACTCATCAAATCCTAGTTAAATATTATTACCGCAGCTACGAAGTGCTTTCCGACTCACCCACACATACGTGTGCCCATCGCATTCACACTCTATGTCTGCCTTCAAAAAATATATTTAAAGTTACTGAACCACTTTCACAAGTAGCGTGGCACCCGTACTTGGCCACATTCTATGACAGGAAGTCCATGTGATCGAAACGCCGCTTTTGGCTTACGTCAGCTATCGGCCAATAGCAGCACTCCGATGGAGTAAGGTCTTCCGCATAAAGAGAGAGCGCTTGAGAAGGTGACGACTGCGTGCTCCGCTTGTGAACTATTATTGTGCGGCACGACTTCAAGATTTGCCTGAGCACTTCACAACAGTGTCTCCTATCCGCTGTATGTGTTCTTTTGCCAAGAACAAAGAAAAAGCGGGGTTTTTCAACACCTAGTACACCATCGCAAAACACTACAGCATCTCTGTCGCCCACTCCAACTTGTATGAATTCAGAAGATATGCCGTATCGTAAGAGACCTGATGAGTGTGCTTACAAGACGAACCAAGTTTTTGATATTTTTCGCTCAAATTCGGAGTAACGACGGTAGACAACAGCGCCAGATCAGCTTCCTCGAGACGAACATTAAGTATTCCCCAAGCTGTGTCCTTATCTCACGCTCCAACATGACTTCTTTATCAGTGATTTACCAACCGGTGCTTTCCTTACCGGCACCCCCCCCCCCCTTGGACTTACTAACTGGCCTTTTCACGAACATTCATCACACTGCCACCGCTGACTCCAAAGTAGGCTTTGCTAACGTGCATTACAACACCAATCCTCGTCAACGTACATAAACCTCTGTCGTCTGCCTAGGCGACTGTCGTCTGCCTAGGCAGACGACAGTCGCTTCGTTCGTATGAATCAAAGGTGATTGGTCGTTTCAGGCCCCGCGCTGTCGAGGTCATAATTTTGGGGTCAAAGTGAATGTCGAGGTCATAATTTCGGGACTTCCAAGGGAGGCCCGAAATTATGATTTCGACATCCTACCCACCTTTCTTTCCGCAAGCTTGCACGCAGGTGTCTCGATATCTATTGTTTTGTGAGCAGGTTCTCTTTCTATTCTAGTTCTATGGCAAGCGCGGACATTCATCTACGACTGCAATAAATGACAAAATGACATGATCTATAAGCACAACTTACTGCTCCTGCATGCTTCTATTTCGCCTAATATGTATTCGTTCAGAACACACAATGAAGGGTACTTACACTTTAATGCTCATTGACGGCTATAATGGCACTAAATCACGTTATTTCATATTGAAGCAGTTATGTGTTTTTTTATTATAACATACGAGCCAGCCCAAGTAAACTTGTAATCGTTGCCTTGAAGTTTTATTTCATTTGAATACAACGTGAATGCAGAAATACCATCTTTAATGCCCTACGTATGTTTGACCTATACCCCAGCAATGATACATAGAACGCTCACTTGTACGAACGTTGTTTTAACGAATGTTTCATAATATCGAACTTTGACAAAATCCACAGTGGTTTTAATAGGCATTCTACACAATAACATTGCTCTTAAACGAGCTTGCGAACAGTAAATATTGTGAATGATGAAACTTATTCAATGAATCAGGGCTCTTTTCTTAGATCAATTGAACGAAAATTCAAGCTCTGTAGCACCGGCGTAGCCCATACGTGTCACTCCGAAGTCAATCGCCTAACATCGGCGGCGCTGCAACATCGCTTGTACATGCAGAGCCGCCTCGGCAAAGCGGCAGGGCAGGAGACGAAAGCGAGGCACATGCGCTTCAGTACCTACACAACTATCAGACTTTGAAATTGATTTCAATGGTCGTCTGAAACCGGAAGAAAAAGAGTGTGACGAAGAAGTTGCAATGGTTGAGGCAGGTTGAAATCTTGCTTCTCTAGCCAAGGTTGTAGAATATGTATTGGAAAGTTGCAAAACTTCGTGTGATAGCAAGAAGCTGTGCCAGAAGCAATGCGCAAAAACGTACACTCCCTGTGCAAATGAAAATTGCATAGTTATTTTCAAAAGTAAATTACATTTCACACATTTGACTCGACTTCTGCTGTGCCTGATGCTGTTGTTCCCTATTAAAGTGAATATTCAGTTATAGTGAACTTTCATTTAAGTGAACTATTTAAATGGGTTCCTTGAAGTTCAGCTAAATAAAAGCTCACTATTAATAAACCACACAATGAAATATTAGTAAGGGATTCCACAGTGCTATATAGTGTTTCAGTTGTACATATATTACCGCAAATCTACCAAAATTCTTCATTGTTTACGAGATTAAGTGCGCTTGTTCCTTGAGCTTACAAAGGATTTAACCGCGTGACAGTCATGGTGAAAACTTCCGTGATATAGTCTTTCACTGGAAGTCGTCAAAATGGCCTTCAACGAAAGTAGCCGTGTAGGTAAACATTTAAAGTCAGCGCCCTTTCACTGTATCATGGTTTCTTTGTTACGGCTTATGATTATATACAAATTTGTGCGTTCTTATTGACTTGGAATGATTTGTAGCCATAGTGGAAGTGGTTAATGACTTACAACACCTTCAGACTGAGTTAACAGTCATTCCTTTTGGCTTGCTTATGAATAGGTGATTTCTTTAGTTCAGACAAATCTGAGTGGACTAATACGGCAGTCACTTTTTCCACAAATATTAGGCGAAATTTTCTATGGACCTGGTTAGATTTGACATACCCAAGGTCATTACACACTTAGCCGGAAAGTTCACTCACAGTGTGATGATACCTCCACCAATCCACGGTTTCAGCATTTTGTAGAAAAAGGCTTTGGTCACGTTTTTGGTGTTGCCCAAGATAGCCTACGCATAAAACAAAAAATGCTGTTATTTCGAGATTCTTCTATCGAGTTCCATTGATTCTCTGCTGCACCAGGTTACCGTGCTTATAACGTTGAACTATAACATACGAAAGATCTTTAATGCGCACTGAAACCTTGCTATACAAATATTTTATAGCTGAAAGCTCTTGGCACTCACCCTGTAACCTTTCGCAACAAATTGTGGTGCATGAGGCAGTCCAAGACATGACGGTGTGAGTAAATTATTCTGTGACTGCGCATTATAAGCGATGTATGTTCTTCAAACATCGTGCGAACCTGCGTAGTCTTGTTCTTTATTTCTTCATCGTGATGCAACCACACCAAAGAATCGACCATGGGGCTTATTTCTGTACTTGAATTTGGCAGAGGGATTCATTTCGTACCACTGGTGAGAAATAAACGTCCGTTTTTGTGTTTACGAAGACACTATTCACAGAGTCTCTCACGGACAGACGGCCAATACTTCCACGAAACGCTTATAGCGAGCGCATCGCTCAAATTTAGAAGGAGGCTTCCTATTTTTCTTCTGACACGCTTGCGATAACAACCACGCAATCCTCAAGTCATTGTCTGGAGTCTTCAATCAACTTCCTCCTTTCCAGCTTTTACGTAGGTTGAAGCTGGGAATGATAAATGTGCCTGAAACTCAACCAAAGCTCAACCCTCCGCACACCTCTTATTTCATCTGTTGCACGTGTATTAGTGTACGGTCGGTAGCTGGACGTGCTAACAGCAGCACTAATCTGCATTTCCTTCCGCCTTTCTTACTTGTTTTTTTTTGGGGGGGGGGGGGGGTGGGGTGGAGGGTGTTTGCGGCACGTGCTTACGCAGACTGTAGAATTCTGGCGTGCATGCACGTGTGTCGAAAGTTACAACAAGCAGCACTGCAGTGCAGTGAAGAATGTCAATGTTGTGCAAACCGCAAGGGCACCCTTACCTTTGACGAAAATGTGTCCCCGGTGGGAGCCTACAGCTGACACGTTGAATGCACTCGGAGTCAGGTGAATCACGTAAGCATGGGAACTTTTGATTGCCTTCTCTAATGATAATTATTGCTATATTTACCCCAAAACACCGAAGTAGCTCAATAAAACACTGATTAAATTGGCATCATTTGCTAAATATTTTAGAAAACAAATTCATGGCGAGTTCCACCCCAAATGAAAGCTTTGTGAACTGAGGAGCAGTGATTCATCATTGTTTCAATATTTTCATTTTATCTCGTGTTTATATTGCCTTTTCTGTTCTTTCATGTTCTTTTCTTTCGTGCAACTATGTGATAATTTCTATTGTTTTCTATTACTTTTTTGTGATTACCTGATTTTCTTTCGTGGTGTTATACTTTATGTTCTATGCTCTTATTTCTACCGTTGTTGTACTGTTTGCTGTTCCTGGAATGTTTGAGACGAAGTTGCGGTGAAGTGAAGCATAATCAGTTCGTTAAGCAATGACGACGGGTAAAGATCCTGAGCTCGTCTACTTATGTGCCTTACTAACCACTGCTCTTCACCACCCAATGACTCATAACTAAAACCAATATCTCTCCACCATCAGCATTCTGTTTGTGCCGTATATCCTTTCAAAGCCATCGTCCTTATAACAGTCCCTGCAAACATCACTGGACTCCTAAAATAACACTCACTCCCCCTCACGTTGAAGAACTAAGGAAACCGAAGCAAGTACCTCTGCCACTTGTGGAGTCGCACCGAGGAGAATCGCGTACGGCCCGTAGTAAGCGACCGTCACATCTTGATCTTCAAATGACTTGAACAGTCCTTTTAGGTACCTGAATGCTTCTGCGTTGAAAAAGGAACAAATTATTTATTACTTGAAATGGCACTGTCATTCAAAATGCTGAAGAAACACGTTCCATTTTCCAGATCACATCGAGGAGCATGCAATCATGGGCTTATTAAACACACTTTTTATTTGGATAATATCTTGCTCCTGTGATATCGCGTAACAGAAACTATTAGGGATGCAATTTGTACACGTGCAAATAACATGTTAACCAATAGGCGATCCCTATGTTATTTTCTATAATATTACAAAACGTAAGCTCACCTGAATCGGTTGAGGCAATGCATCGTCAGTGTTGAAAGTATCCACACATGATTTCTTTTAGCATTGATGATACATTGAGCACTGAGTGATAATGACGCCCGTACACAGGGGCACAGGCATAAGATTTTTTTTTTTGGGGGGGGGGGGGGTAGCACCACGTTGATTTGAATTCGGGGCCGGAAAAAAAAAACGTGGTCAAGTGTCATTTTTGTTCAGCATATCATGGGAAAAAATGGGCGGGATGGGGCACAGGCATGTTGTGCCAACTCTGTGGCTACGCCACTGCCCTTACACGTATTTTGTGCCGTACTAGAATATACGCAAGTACCTCAGAAAACATGTAAAGTGGTTTAGCTGCTATCGTAATTATTCTGAATAAAGTGACAAAACAGAGTTAAGAATGGCATAACTGCTGTATCTGCACTGCGTATTAAAAGAACAATGTTGAAAATGACTAAATACCGTCATTATATGAAAATTTTGCGTATCTTTGTTTACGGGTGAAGTTTTCCTACTCAGGGACGGTGAAAATGGCCAATGGCGAATTACTATGAGTATGGTAAATAAATGAAGGAGGAAGAATATCCCGCCATGGTGGTCAGGTGCTAAGGCACTCGGCTGCTGACCCACCGGTCGCGGGATCAAATCCCGGCTGCGGTGGTCGCATTTTCAATGAAGGCGAAAGTGCTTGAGGCCTGCTTGGTACGTTAAAACCAAACAAGTATGATAGTAAAGCATGAGGATTAAATGTTGTCCCCCTGCCGCAGGGAACATAAACAACAACAGATACTGCATAACGAGGCTTTTCTAACTAAACCATCACCAATTTTCTGGAGTGATTCGGGAGAAGCAGGTGAATAGAATAAAGACGTTTGTGTATACAAGCTACGCAACAGATCATTTTCGGTAAATTGGTACGTGTGGTAAAAGAAAGCATGCGGCAGTAAGCTAGAAAAAAACGGCGGCGTCTTCATTGGATTATATATTTACGGCTGTTCGTATGGTTTGAATATCGGGGACAAATATGAGGCAAAAGTAATTTTTTCCACACTTGCTAAGCTTTTCAAAGTGCGTAACACAGTAAAAGAAAGAAGGTGCGAGTAAATCACGTAAAAGGGACTGCGTTATCCAACGCAGAGATGTGTATGTGTCATGGGCAGTCTGTGTGGTCTACCAGGCGCCCTCATATGTGAGGCAGAGCGCAAAATGCTTCAAAGTTCGATCAAGGGAGCATGAGCAATTTCTTTCTAATGCCCCAGCTTTGAATCTGCCAGCGCACTGCCGAGAGAGCGATTGCGAGGCAGCTTTTAAAGGGAGAGGCAGTTCTAAGGAAAGTAACCTGTTATGTCTCAGCATAATAGAGGCTTTCCATATCAGAATAAAATGGGAGCCACCTATCGATTACTACGACAAGGAATTTCAGTAACTGTGCACCCCATAACCAGCCTCCTTTGCGCGGTTTACTCCCGTATACGCATTTTGCCCTGTACAGCCACGACCACGTTTCTGCAGAGCACTCGAGCTGCTGGTTTTTGCTCTGCAGAGCGACAGCTTGAAGCATTTAGGGCTCTGACGTGGTGGCTCAGGGGCATACACATCCCAGTGGTCAGGCTGACCATGGCAGAGCCTGAAACTGGCTTAAGAGGTCGCCCCACAGAGCGAAAATCAGCAGCTCGCTTGCTCTGCAAAGACGTGGCCGCGGCTGTTTTTAGCGCCTTTTTGTTGTTGTTTTTGTTGTTGTGGTTGTGGTTGTTCATGCTTTTTACGAACTGTTTCGTGTCTTTTTTTATGGCTTTTAACATTTCCATGTTTTACCCCTTAGAAGGCATGTCATGTGGGCTGATGCTTTTAGAAAGCTTGATTTTATATTTCAATAAACCCATATTGTATCGAAAAGAGCAGACTTTTAGGCTAGTTAGTTTGTTACGTTCATTGAAGTCATAGCGGTTATATATGAACTCTTGAATGATTATGAGCTGGCCACTGCTTCTCAGGAACCAGCGAAGTATGTAGTACCAAAAGAAAATTCTGTGATACACACAAATTTTGACCAAGCTGGACAGGTTCTCCCACATATTGCAAGTACGCCACAAAGTACGCCACACTCCTAAGATGTGTTCAGAGAATTAAACAAGTTCAAACCCAAGACCATTAGAACCGTATGATGTCGAAGTGGTTGAAATAAAAAATATACCCACACGCCGGCAAATGCATTATATACCCGATCTCCTCCTCGGCGCTTCATGCTTTCTCGTGAATACTCAAAAAGTAAAAATAATAATGTTCATGAAATTCGTGCCGATTAAAAGGAATTCTTACTTTTTGATTCAGCACGCTATACTGAATGAAATTTCGGAGGAGCCATTCCAGTGAGAGGAGCCGGGCTCTCGGCACAGCAGCCCAGAAATCCACATGAGTTCTCCTGTCGTTTTTGAAGGCACCACAATTGAGCGACCGTCACTGACACACTGCCTCCATGTGTGTTGTGAAATGTCTCTCCCCTACTATTCCTCTCTCTCACTATCTCTCTTTCACGCTAATATTCCCTTCCCCGTGAGCATTGTACCAAAATTAACGTAGTCTATAGTTAACCTCCCTGTCTTTCCTGTATTCCTTGTCTCTTTCTCTATTGGCGGGCTACTGGTTAACTGACAAACGCCGGGTTAACAAGGCAGTCTAGTGATGCATTATTTTGTTTCCGTTGAGCCGCCCTATTCTTTCTTGAAAAAAAGACTAAATTTGGTTGGCAAACTGCAACCCTAGTAAAATATCACCTACATATAGCTTCGCGACGGCATACAGGTGAGCCAAGAGTGCAAGAAGCATACTCACTGACTTTCACATCCACGTTCGGTCCCATGGCATACATCTGCCTGTATAGGTCCAAAAGTAACGTGAATGACTTCTGTGGCTTAGGCTTGGGCACATCGCGCAGGTACCACCACATTCGCAGCCATTCTACGATGACCCGCGTCACGTGAACTAGGAGAGTCGCTGCAAAAATCCAGGTGACAGTCCCGAGAGCCCACACGAACAGACACGGAGCCTCCTCGAATGCTCGCCTAACTATCGTCGTTGATATCATTCCGTAAGCGCACGTAGTGTAACGTCGATATCTGCTGCTAATCTGGTATTAGTCAAAACGGAGGCTGATTAAGGCTGTACTCCTTTCACCGAGACCGGCCAGCATGCATACTATTGGAGCGGCGTTCGTTCGGTGTGCGTATGTGAACTTGCCTGTAATGGACGCCCTCTGCGGCGCTTAGCCACGGCGACTGCTGCGTGAAAGCAACGCGGCGGGTAAGGGATCCGAGGTTCGTGGAAAGGGTTCACTACGGCGAGTCGCAGTACGTCCCAGCGGTGCCTCGTTGACACTGTGGAGGAGAACTAGGCACATGGTCGCCGCCGACCTCCTCAACCGGCCGCGGCAACGGGGCGAGACGGATATGCGGTCTATTGACGCTTTCGTCTTACGCTTTCATTTCCGTATAACACGGGACAACAAAATTTTAAAGGGTGAAAGAACGTGACCTCCTTCGTCATGGGGGATCGAATCCCGGCCGTGGTGGCCGCATTTTCGATGGAGGCGAAAATGCTCGAGGCCCGTGCTTGGATTTAGATGCACGTTGAAGAACCCCAGAGAGTCAAAGTTTCAGGAGCCCTCTACTACGGCGTCTCTAATCATATGGTGGTTTTGGGACGTTAACCCCCACTCCTCAAAAAGAATTTAAAATTCTTCGTCATGGTTTGCGGCGTTCAATTTTTTTTTCATTTTTGCCCTCTCCTTCCGGAACGGAACACGGAATTACTTGCGCCACTTTATATATCTGGAAAATTTAAGATGACGCTTATTGAATGATATGTGAGGTTTAACGTTCCAAAACCAACTAGTGATTATGATAGAAGCTGTAGTGGAAGGATACGGAAATTTTGACCACCCGAGGTTCTTTAACGTGCACCCAAATTTGACCACACGGGTCTGCAGCATTTTCGCCTCCCTTGGAAATGCAGCCACCGCAGCCTAGATACGATACCGCGACCTGTGGCTCAGCAGCCGAGTACTTTAGCCACTAGACCACCATGGCGGAGCCAGATGACGCTTATTATTTCAATAGTTTGTGTACCTCAATTGGATGCAAACGATAAAAATTGGTGAAGCAGTATTCGCAAAAACCGTTAAATAGCTGGCCACTAATTGCGCTCGAGATATTTGTTATCGAAATTGGCAAGCCAGGGTAAAAAAAAAACATTGAAACAAAAGTTTTTGAAGTCGAGTTCTAGATCCTCGACTTTTTGAAGTCGAGTTCTAGAACTTCTGATACAAGGCGTTTCGGGAAATGCTAGAACTTATCAAGCATAAGTGTACTGAGCAGTAACTATTCAAGTTTCCACACGTAAGCGGTCATCGCTTGTTATTAGTACATTCAGCAAATCTATTGCGGTCTGCAGTAGTGCCTACGTGTGTGTATATTTGCAGTCATGACCGTATATCTGGGCGGCTGTGTTCACTGTGGCTGTTAACAGCTGTTTGACCACAGTTAACCCTGCCGCTACGCATATTGCAAGGGACACCTTCGGTAAAATCTGCAGCGTCGTCCCAGAACAGGGAAGATCTGAAACAGCCGTGTACATAGAGGATTAACAAGTCGTTATGAATGGCGGGGCGCATATTATTGGCGTTTTCCGCGAGCTTCCTTCTTCCTTTATATGCACGTGTCAACGACAGTCGAGACACAGTGCACCGTGACTTAAAGTCAACAGCTGCGACGTCAGATTTATCTGGTATTGGCCGTCACGGGACCACACGCGCCGAAGGACTGCCGCTATAGAAGTATTTGATTGCCCCTCCTTAGTTCTTATATGGTACCAGCAGAACGGGGCGCGCCGCATGGCGGAGATGTCAGGAGGTCAGCATTCTACCATCACTTCCTCGGTATATTTTTCTAAACGCACTCCACGTCGTCGATCCAGACGGCGTTCGTCCCAGCTCAGATGCTAAATTTGGTCGACGTAGGTGTCGTTTCATTGACTGTAGCTTCGCTTTCTGTAGCTTGCGCGTCGGTTCTGGCCCACTCAATGTCTTCGAAGCCTGCGTGCGCCTTTACCCAGGAAATCTCCACGTGTACACAGAAGTCTTCTGAGAGGGCCAACACGCCGTTCACTTTGTAGATATATTTATTTGAGTATTTATACGTTCTCCTTGAAGATTTATTTCTGCGCTTCGTCAACGTTCGATCCTTACGTTAATAAAACGCACCGTTTCTACTATAGTGCGAAGAATCTAACAAAAAGTATACAAAGGGAGTCGACAAGGACTTCTGTATACATTGAGCATTGTTCCTTCACAGCGCATGCACGTCAATTTAGTATCACAGCACGAACGAGCAGTTGGTCTTCAGATACATTCGAGGACAAGGACGGTTCTTTGTGACCTCTTCTTTAGAAAGTTTTTCAATGCTCCAATGAAAACATGTCCAAGTTCCCACTCGACGCTTCGGCACCACACATCTTTTTTGTTTTCGATGCTGCGGACATAGGTGGTAGTCAATTTTAAGTGCATCGCGGCGAGAGTGACTATAAATTTAAGGCTGGAAAAACTCCGTCCAGTTCACAGTGCTTCATGCACAAAAAAAAACTTAGATGGTTTGTGATTAGATAATATTTAGGGTGTGCAATCGTTAGATGACTAAGACTAAGTCATTGATTGATATTTGTGGTTAAACGTCCCAAAAACACTATGTGGTTATGAGAGACGCCGTAGTGGAGGGCTCCGGAAATTTTTACCACCTGGGGTTATGTAACCTGCACCCAAATTTGAGCACACGGGCCTATACAACATTTTCGCCTCCATCAGAAATGCCGCCGCCACAGCTGAGATTCAATCCCGCGACCTGCGGGTCAGCAGCCGAGTATACTTATCCACTAGACCACTGCAACGAGGCTAACACTAAGAATAAATCACATGACTCAGTGGTGTGAGTGAGAGTCTGGCCTGTGTTTCATGCCAACACAACGTCCAAGTAGTCTATCTTTAGAAATCGTGTCATCGGCTGGTAAACTCAACATAAACTCTAGATTTGTTCTCGGGTCAAGAAATATAAATTTTTGCGTAAAGCCTGCAGAGCCCGTCTAACAACCGAGTCACTTGGCTTTCATCAGTCAGAAACCACCACTGTGTACGTTAATGACCACCTCACACTATAAAACAATACATTGTTTGCACAGACAATCTCACTAAATATAGAAAAGCAATGGAAGTTCTTGTGGGTGAACAACGGTCACATCAAAGCGCGAAAAACTGAAGACAGCTAAGCTCACACCATTGCCAACGTGTGGGACCTCTCAGTAATGAGAGAATGGTCACTTTTGTCTACCAAAGTGATTCTCACCTAAAAAGAAAAAAAAATGGCAGAGAAAGATTATGTGACGCTCGCAAAACAATGGGCGCATGACTTTCCACGAAAAAGAATAGCATGTCCTTCATTCATTTTAACACACAATCTGCATGAAATAAGAAAGACCAAATAACCGCTCCTATTTCAACTCTAAGATCTCAACCTCATGTTCTTATGATGACGGAAACGTGTTACAAGAACGAATCTGAAATGTTAAGGTCACCCGGCTATGCAACGTTTGATTTAGGTTTCACCCCCACCCCCCCCCCCCACGGTGGTCTAGTAGCTAAGGTACTCGGCTGCTGACCCGCAGGTCGCGGGATCGAATCCCGGCTGCAGCGGCTGCATTTCCGATAGAGGCGCTAATGTTGTAGGCCCGTGCGCTCAGATTTGGGTGCACGTTAAAGAATTCTAGGTGGTCAAAATTTTCGCAGCCCTTTACTACGGCGTCTCTCATAATCACAAGGTGATTTTGAGATGTTAAACCCCACAAATCAATCAATCGATTGTTTTAGATTTTTGTTTTAAACCGCCCAACAAGAATGGGAGGTGCACAATGATGGCTAAAAAGTTCATTAAAATGTCGTAAGGTTCAAGAGTTTTCGCAAGTCCCTAATTATTACCAAATGTTTACTCTACAAAGTGATCGTTTTGTTTATGGTGTGTTATACCGCCCCCCTACAGGCAACACGTCAAATTTCTTAGCATTCTTAGATACATACTTATGTTGGACTGGAGACACTGGTAGTACGCTAGTTCTTGCATTTGATTTCAATATTTATGTTGATGAAAGTCCGCTTTGACTATGTCAAATTTCTGAATCAGATGGGTTTTCTAATAATATCACCACCCCAACCCGCATTGACTAAAACAGTGCGACAATATTAGATACGCTCATTACTACCACTGAAGCTTCGAAATGTTTGTACAGCGTACCAAGCGAACCTATCAGTGACTATCTTCCTATTTTTATGTTGATAAACGAAGCCGTAAATTGCGCCCTCTAAATTAAGACAAGCAAAATATATTAATTATTAAGATAATAATAAGATAATAATTATTATATATTCGCTTCATTTCGCAGGGAGACATCATTAACCTATTGGTAAAACGTGTATCGCGAGCAACAACCAGAAGTCGCCTATAATATTTTGATGACAAACTGCTTATGGTTTACAAGAAATGCTTTCCGTACAAACAGCTCAAGCATGCGTGCAAAGCCAAAAACCGTGGCTGACAAAAATTTGTTTTAAGGAAATAAAACGTCAAAATAAATTGTTCGAAAACTTCATGAAACAACAACGAAGAAATGCTTAAACGTTTCAAAACCCAGCGAAATAAAGTAACAAGTCTGTTGCATTGCAAAGAGATAAAATACTTAAACAGCATCTTCAACAGAGATGTAATGAGGGAACAAGACTGAAATGAGTAAAGAAGACGCACTGTGGATACTTGCGCACAAGTATCCACAGTGCGAATGCGAAACTGAGGTATAGTACGTTAAAATGAATTTCACAATGTTTTTGTCGATAAAATTTTGGGAGGCGTAATATTTGTCCCTACTTTGAACCATATGATCTAAAGCATCGCCTCCGAGACGCGGCGCACAGCAATTCATCTGTAGAGCAGATGACGGATGACAACTTGCCCTAAAGCGTTTTCTTCAGTCTAATGCGGCAGTCTTCGTGCCCCAAATGATAAAAATTTGTTATTTATTGTTTATGAACTTATACAACATTCCATTCTCTTACCTAACGTGTTGCAAACACATGGCCATCACAGCAGCTCCATCTGTGTGTCAGTAATGGAGAGGCACCCCATGTTAGAAGCCTCAGTGCTCTACGTATAAGAGTGAATTCAGATACTGTAGAATACCGTGTTCAAAATAGTTACTCCTATCTGCTAATACAGCCTTTCTTCACCAAATGCGGTCACGTTTACTCGCGTTTGAAGCTTATTGCCGCTTT